GTAAGGAAACCTTACTTTGTGACACATCTACAGGTAGGGATCGCCCAATCGTGCCGAAACATTATCGACGCAATGTCTTCAACACGTTGCACAAACTTTCGCATCCAGGTGTTCGTGCAACCATCAAGCTTATAGCAGAAAGGTTTTGCTGGCCTGGAATGAATAAAGACGTGAGGGAGTGGGCACGCTCCTGTGTAAGCTGCCAAAAATCTAAGGTCATCAGACACAATAAATGTCATTTAGGCTCATTTAAATCTCCTGATACTCGTTTCGACCATGTTCATCTGGATTTGGTAGGACTTTTACCAGATTCAAATGGACACTCTTACCTCTTAACCTGCGGAGACCGTTTCACTCGATGACCTAAAGCAGTACCTATCAAGGACACCACTGCTGAAACAGTGGCTCGCGCCTTCGTCGAACGATGGGTAGCAAACTTCGGTTGCCCTTCAACCATCACCACAGACCGCGGACGTCAGTTTGAATCTGGACTTTTCCGTCGTCTGACCACACTTTTGGGAATCACTCACTTCCGAACGACCGCCTACCATCCACAAGCAAACGGGTTGGTAGAACGTTTTCACCGACAACTAAAAGCTTCACTATCAGCTGCAAACGTTTCACAGTGGACCGACGCTCTTCCACTTGTCTTATTAGGTATTCGCAATGCAGTGAAAGCTGACATTGGATACACTGCTGCTCAACTCGTCTATGGAACGACACTTCGACTTCCAGGAGAATTCGTGGATCCTTCGTCCTTTTCAATGAACATGGATCTAACCTCCTACACGAACAGGTTTACGAACGCAATGCGTTCAGTTAAACCTGCTTCCACTCGACCTCAATCAACTGATGTTTTCGTTCAACCTGACTTACGATATAGTACACACATTTTCGTTCGTCGAGACTCGCATCGACGACCATTCGAATCAGCGAACGAAGGGCTTTTCAAAGTTCTTCAACGTGAATCTAAGTACTATATAGTCGATAAGAACGGAACAAACGATAGCATCAGCATCGATCACCTAAAAGCAGCGCATTTAGAAGGAAATCCTATTCATGTCGACTTTCCTTCGGTACAATAGCACAACACGACTCCCACACACATAATTCCTCAACCGACAACCAACACTAGCGATGATACTCCGAATGTGTCTGAAAATAAACTTTTTTGGTTCTAACTTCAAGAAGGTAAGTAGAACGTTAATGATCAGTACCATAATCAACACTTTGGCCGCGTCCTTGTTGTTGAAAACATTTTGAAGTCTGCAAATACATACTAAGATGTCTCCGTGATCATTACAAGCTACCAAAAACTTATAGCTGTGAATACGTTTTCTATACAAGTATCTTTGTGGACGTCCAACAGTGATGTTTAAATATATTCTGAAAGTGCTCCGTCAAATAATGTGGTCTTTTTCAACAAATCTTATGTAAGATGCTTCTCTTCTAGATGGTCAGACTATTAATCTCAAGGCTATACATTTTTGTCTGAGTTCAAAAACTGTTTCTTCCACCTCTTAACGTTCTTCTCAACGGTCATCCGAATACCTTACTTGAGGCGTCTTGATTGTGGTATCTCCTATTCCATGCTTCTAGATTATCTTCAGAAATACTATTCTAATTAGAATTTACTCATCTTTTACTGGAAATAGAAATTCAAGTAATAAAAATGGACGCAAAAGTTGCACTGAATTCTTTTAGATGTGTAAGTAATGTTTCTGAAAATGTGTAAATTGACAATGTTTGTCTCATGTTATTAGTCTTGATAGCCCTTGAAGTTATGTCGTAATCGATTTCGTTCCTTAAAAAACCACTGTTTTATTTTGGAAGATCGAGAATTTTGTGTACCAAGTAGACTCTATGTGGTGTTTGAATAAACTAAAGATTCCTCTGTACTTGTTGAATGTTTGATTTCGAATCCCAAATACAGTACATTCGTTCGTGCTTATCTTGTACTTCTTAATCCAATTGCGTTATTTCTGGGATTCTTAGTTAGTGCCATAATTTAAACACTCCTAGTTATCATATTGGCGCCGCGATTGAGCCTGTGATGGAACGGTTGGACATGCATACAGATTTTGATGCGTCTGAGGATTACTTGGAAAGGTTAGAAATCCGGGCTATGACCAAGGAAGATTGCTGGGGACGTCAGATCTTCAAAACTCATATTTTGTAATTTTATCTTTGTGGAACTTGTATGCAGATGTATGCTTGGGCATTTCCTACCACCCACGCACATAGCCGATTGGCGAACTTATCGATTAAATGTTTAAAAACTTCCATTGCATTATCGATTATATATATTTTGTGTAAGTACGCTTGATTTGTGTGCTTGAGGAACCTGGTATCTTCTGGTTGTCTGTCGAATACACATTTTACATCTTACCAAGACTTCGGGATCGAGTTAACTGAGTCGAGGACAACGTACCAGTATAGCCTATCGAGTCTCTGTTTGCTTGATTCTTCGTTCCGCTTCGAGTAAGACGAATCAGTAGTAGCATTCAAGTTAACGAACATAACAAAGACATTGAGGATGTCAATACTGTGGCCCACTTCCTCACATTCATTGGAAAAGAGGCATAAAGTTTATTAAAAACTCGGGTTTTACAGGAGAAGCTCATATCGCTTCCTTATACAATCTAGTAATAGACCATGTCAAGTATAAAAATTTCGATTGCAGTAAAGAAGGGAAATTTCATAAAATGATTCATCAGGACATCAAAAATTCTACTACATTACGTCATCCCAAATCAGTGCATACTCAAGGTTATGTAGATAACAATTCATTGAGGAGTTGAAATACAGTTCACGAAGGTGGGCTCAAGTATGATGAATGTTTGTCCTGTGGCAAGTCTCAGCCATGTAATTCATGTGCACTTCGTAATTCTAAATGCTTTAAGTGTGGTGATATTGGACATATTCAGTCAGTTTGCAATACTACATGTTCAGACACATATGTTTGAATATCCAAAATCAGATAATAATAAATACAATACCTATACACGATATGAAAACCGATGAATGCTTGAGGTCTTTTTTTGACATATACTTAGATGTCTGAAGTCAACTCTTAAATAACAAACCTAAGTTATTACGTTAAATTCCTCCCAGAATCGAGTTCCTTAAGAACTTCGCAACACAGGTGAGAATCACTAACTTGTTCAGTGTTGGACCTTCAATAAATTACGACCAACCCCATCAGTATTAACTGAACTTCGAGACGTTTAAATAGGCTCTTCAACTAAGTAAAATACGTTTGCACCTTTTTCTTCCCGGACGAGAAAAACTACTCCTTTTTGGCCGGCCGGAAAGTCTGCTGTTTGCCTTTCAAAAGGAAAAAAACATTAAAAAACCATCATGTGTTCTATTACCGCCAAAGGGCAGAAGGTCTATAAAACTCCTCAAGACAGGTGTATTACGTTTCCACCGGGTCTCATATACAATATAAGAGATTTATTCACATATGCTATAGATGAGTTTGCCGCAACGTAGGTTGATTGGTTAAGAGTTGCCTAAAAAAATCTTAGTAATGCCGAAACTTTAAAGCTTAAGTATTCATTCACTTCCTTGTTTTGTACTTGTATTATACCTCCTATTATTTTGTGTTGAATATTGAAAAACTTTAACTGTTGAAGAAAAACGACCTCAATCTCCGACTGTTCTGTTGCACGATCGAAAGACTTATTAAGTACTAGTTAATTTTTTCTATCGGTGAAACAGGGAGTACTCACCAGCATGGAAAGTTTTCAAAGCACTGCATTTCGTAAATAAATTACAGGACTTAGGAATTTTGAGGATCTCCTTCTCTAGTTCATATAGATAGAGCAGCGGCTACTTTAGTGATGCTCTTACACTCGAGACTTCTCTGAACACAGTATTAAATCAGGTAGCTGTATTACAGAGTCGTTATTATTGACACATATAAGGATGCCATGCCGAAAAATAAAATGTTTTAGATAGACCAAAGTCAAATAGACTTGATAAAATGATTGGATTGACCAGTGAGACATCTTGGAGTTTACTCTACTGACCCTCTAGCAAAAATCATTAGACCGTTAAAAGCAGTTTTTTTCATACTGAATCAGAAGAATATCATAGCCACTCCTATCCAAGCACCATGACAGTGACTGAAGTTTTCAGTTATAAATCAATAATATTTATAAACGTATTGCAAGAATAACCTAGGCAATTATAATATTTTCTTTCGAAACTAATTACTCGTTGGGGAGTGAAGAGCATGGTTTTAGCAATGGCTTTTGGCCACAGTAAATCTTTATCTAGTGACGGTTACTGAAGAATGTCCGTGAATCGAAGAAAAGGAGTTGAGATAATCTGCGAGGTCCCTCCCAAAGCCTTAAACATGACATTTACTGAAGTTCACAAAGTTATAAACCACAAGGCACCGAAATAGAAGGCTTCCTGGTCGAAATTCGACAGAAAGTAATGATAAGTCACGAAATCTCCAAACTAATACTTAGTAGAACATCTCAAAGATCAGCAACAAATTCCTTATTATTCATTTTGCAAGTGAATCAACGTGCATGAACCGTCAAATCTTTGGTTCTACTTCAGTATGTAGGAAAAAGTGGCTGTGAATGTTGACATATCTATGTACTGGGGTTCACTGTGGGTGATGGCTTGAAGACTACGGCTCTCTGGCATTCGATTGGATGTTAAAGATTTTAAAAGGGAAGGGCATTCAAAAGAAATTGGACCGACAATAAGAATATTTGCATCACCTTCGATGGATTCATGCAGTTGGATATCAACCACATGGAAACACACTAGAAATGTGTCCCATATATTCTGTACTGTAAGTACATATGTGAACACAAGTGACTTCATAAAAATATCATTATCATTTTCAATGCAATAATAAACTATTTATACCATATGACGAACTTCAGTTTTTCAATACATATTTTTACTTTTTCAAAGTATGATTGTTGTACCGTCATAGATCTGCGGTTTTTCAAACTACTGACGGTGTTTTCATTATGAAGGGCTGTATACAGTGTTTAAGAGTCATACTAGTGGTTTTCAACTTCCTGGTTGTGGTAAGCGTCATATAATATCACTAAAATATTTTTAAATATGGATTTTTTTCGACAAGATTGTGAATTGAATAATACTCGACAAAATGTCCCTATAAAGATAACTGTCAGTTAACTAACACATGTGTTAATTTGACCAATATTTCTCTAAAAGATTGGATCAATAATAACATCTGAACCGTCTTGAGTATTAGTTTTTGGTTTGTATAAAGTTGTTATAACTCGCATAGTAAAATAATACTGAATCACTCTATAGCAATGGGAATGTGTGGACGGTGTCTAGTACAAACTCCTGTGGTGTGTTTCACATTTGTTATCTGTTGGGTAAAACCCGTCTACCGTAAACTGATTCAACTGATTTCATGTTAGATAAGTTATTCAGACTAAATAAGCGATCTGACGACAGAATATCTCCCATATTGTTTAAAATAGTGATATATATATATATATATATATATATATATATATATATATATATAGCTGAAGGTGGTTTAGTGAGTTGTCAATCATAAACCAACTATTGATAACCTTTCGAGTTATTTGGTACCCAAGTGTCATCGATGTTGCATGGAAAGTTTATGCGGCCGTTTTTGATACTGTATATGTTACACGAAATATTTTGATATATTTCAAGTGTATCACCTTTGTTGAGTACAATAATTCACTAGCTGTTTCCATAGATGTATATAATGATATGACCTCACAAGTTGGATGACTGCCTCATGAACTGCTCAAAAAAGTTTGTTGTGCATACAAAATAAGATTCTACCATTGTGGTCTCTAAATCGAAAATCAAATTTATTTTGGCCTGAAGAAGTCTTGGTGAACTAGATAGCTAAATATACGTTACAGTTGTCAGTTCCTCCACAAAGCGATACAATAAAGCATTTGAATTACCTTAAATCTATGCGACTTAGGTATATAACGTGGTTTTAGGCGTTGCCTCAGTTCGGAGCAGATGATAGCTTTTTATTGGACATATAAAACTTGGGTCTTAGACATAAAACAACAAAAACGTAATATCTGTTCGAATAATATTGTTGATAAACAAGGAAACAAAAGTAATTTGTCCAAGATAACTTTAGTTGGTCAGAGAAAAACTCAAAAATTCGTGCATTTTATTTTACTAGATGCTATCAATCAGAAACAACTATAGGAAACTGTGATTATAATTTGAGCGTTATATTTCTTATTTCTTTAATTTGACAACGTTTTTTATTAATTCTGGAAAAAATTAATAGCTTTATCTTCTGTTCTAATTATTTTGTCTTGATTCGTATTAGGCCTTTGTCTTACATTTAAAACTGATGTAAAATGTTTATTCACTTATCATATCTCACTTGTGATTTCTGTTGACTTTTCTAAACCTCACATGTATCAGAAACTAGGTAATTTCCTGTTTTGACGTCTTGGGGGTAAATTTCAACAAGCATTTGTTCATCGTCAACTTTAGTGTAATATTTGAATACAGACTATCATTACGTACATCTTATTTTACCAGTGTAAATGGCCATTGTATGTGGAAGTGTCTTAAAATACATGTGCAAGAATGGCAGTATTGTAGCTTTGTTACGGTATAGCAGTGTGAATAACATGAGAGAGCATACATTTTTGTTATACGATGTGTTCAGTCATACTATATGACGTAGTTACTTCTGAAGCTACTGAGATAATATTGAAAAAAAGACTAACCGTAAACGCCCGATTATTTAAGAAGTTAAGTAGATGGGTATTCCTTTCGAGTCTAGATAGATTTTTCTAACACTCGGCAATCAGTCAAACACTTTATCCCAGCATAGTTCTTAAATCTACATAATATAATAACGGATTATTTCTTGTTTAACTGTAATTAATGTTTTTGTTGTGCTAAAACAATAAATTTTTTTATTCATTCAGCTTATTGGATTGGCAGTTTTGGGCTTTTCTGTTTACATCTACCTGGAACCAGAGGCGCAGGACATCATACTTGCGTCGGGACAGCAACATGCGGTACAAATCATGTTATATGCTCTTATGGGTATCGGTGGAATTACTTTAGTAATAGCGCTGTTTGGCTGTTGTGGTGCTTACCATGAATCGCAGTGTCTTTTGGGAACATATTTCACTATCCTTATAGTGATCTTTGCAACTCAAGTAACAGGAGCCACATTGGGTTATTTATACCGAGAGGAGGTGAGGGTTACTTTTATCCAGAATATATTCTATTTATTGATAATCATTCATTTAAGTGTTATTTTATCAATAACTAGCATAAAGCGAAATTTGTAATTGTGACTTTTTTGCCACTGTGCAGTTATTCATTGTCCTGTTTTTTTTCGTCAAAAAGCAAATGTTTTAGAATATTTTTGCGTTTATTGACAACTAGTTGTGTATGGGTTGAAAATACGTTAACATAATTGTTTTCTGTGCTGTGAGTTCTTGGGTTTTTGCTAATGTAATTGAGAATTTGATATGTATAGGTCGGCTTCCAAAATACTTGAGCCTCCCGTATTCCTGTTTTAGTTCTGGTGATGAATGCATTCAGGGATGGTAGTTTGTTGTTTGACTCCTGTTCCATTGTGAACGTTTTGTCACCAAAAGCGTTATTGATCAGATTTTGAGTGTTTTCCAGCCCATGCTTTTTGATGATGACGAAAGTTTCGTCCACATAGCTAATCCAACGTTTTAGCTTGATCACTGATAAGATCGAGACTTTCAGTCTCTGCATCACTGCTCCTGCAATACGTCCTGATATTAGTGATCCCATCGGTTTTCCTTTCACTTGTTCCTAGGTTTTGTTGTCTTATTAAAAATATGTTGTTAAACATAAATTGATTAGTTCTAGTAAACTTTAACTTCGAAGCTCCGTGTACTTAGGGATATTTGTGTCGTTGGTGAGAAGCAGGAATAGAGTTCCCTTTGCTAAGCTTCATTTAGTTGAGGTGAACAAGGCTGTCACATCGAAGGATACCAGTTCGTCGTTGTTGGCTTGAATCTCCATAATGTTGTCCAGGAATTGTATGGGAGATCTGATAGAATGTTTTGATGAATGCACTGAATGTTTCAATATTCGTGAAATTTCTCTTGACAGGTTGTACGTTGATGTTCCGGGGAGGGCTAAAATTGAACATAGTGGGATGTTTGGTTTGTGTATTTTTGGCCGGCTATAGGATGTAGGGGAGTACTAGTCCACTGGATTTCAGTTTTCATTGATCTTGCTTTGATATTTGTTCTGTTTTGACAAGCTTATTTGAAGTCCTTGAGATTTAGTTATCTAATCTTTTGATTGGGTTTGCGTCCATTGGTTTATAGACAATTTTATCATCAAGTGGTTCCTTGACATTCCTGTTATGTTCATGCTTGTCCACAATCACTGTGGTGCGTTCTTTGTCTGCTGAAAGTATGATAATGTCTTCCATAGTTCTGGAGCTCTTAAAGGCTTTTTGTTCTTGTGAAGTTGGTTGGCTGTTGTCTTTCTTTCGTCGAGCTAGCGGTACTATGGTTTGTCTTATTTCTTGTTAGGTTTCTTCACTTTTTCTGGCAGTTTTTAGTGATGACTCTAGTGTGACAATAAATCCTAGTTTTGGCTTTTTTCTTGTATTGTTGTTTAATCGTTTTCGGAGCTTGTGTTCTTCTATGTTTGTCAGCGGTTACTTCGACAGGTTGATCACTCAGTTGTTTGTGTTTTCTTCAATGGGTGTTATTGAATTCCTGGTTAGTTTTTTTCTTGAGAATGTTTTTCTTTGTTCCTGTGTTGTCTGTATGATATCTCGATGGCTGTTGTCAAGGTTGCTAAATGTTCTAATGTGAGTATCCTCTCTAGCATCCTCTTTGGGTCATTCATGACGACTTGGTATTTGTGGATCCTGTAGTATGCATCAGTTATCATTAGGTGTACCATTTTTCTTCCACTTCGCTCAGCTATTCTTCATACCATTAGGTAGTTGATTGGAAGTCTGTATCTTACATTTGTTGGCAGAAGATATCGACGATGATTTATCTATCAACTTATTTTGGTGTGGCATTTGTAGACTTTTGATGCTGCTAGGACTAATAGCATTATAAAATACAAGCATTCGTAGATGCTAATAATTGTTATATCAGAAGTGTAAGAAGTAAGCACTTCGGTTTGCCTGACGGATAATGATCAGTTTATTCTGAAATTCGGAGTAATAACCCTAATGTAGTAACATGAATAGATTGATCTGAATATTTAACCCTCAGTATTAAACAATATGGGTTCATGTAAGGAATCGGTTTTTGATTTTTTTAAGATAGTCTGGTTTAAGAGAACCAGAAAAAGACATGATTGTTATTTCTAGCTAGTGTTATCTTTTGACGTCCTATTTTGCAGAAATTTGGGTAACAAATAAGCTTAGCAATACCATTTCATTTTTGTATCTTAAACTTCCAAAAGAAATTTCATATATGTATATCACACTAGTGGTCTTCATATTTAGTAATATATAGCATTAGAATTTAAAAAGTAGGTTTTATTTCTGAGTATAATTGAATGTCGGTGTTTTGTCTACTAAAATCTGGAAATTTCATACATTGCTATAGATACCATAGTTGTCCCTCATGTGACTGTGTTGCAACAACTACCTCTTGTCTTCCATTTTTCAATTTTATTTTATGCAACTGGCTAAACCAATTTTGAAGAAAACACAATAGGAAATCGTAATCAGTAATAAGGGCTTATAGGAATGGGTTTTGTGGAGTTTTTTTTTAGAAATTTCATAGGTTGAAATTATGAGTCGATTGAAGCTAGACCACCATGGAAAACCTGGAAGCACTGGACGGCCGTTTCGTCCTAGTATGGAACTCCTCAGTAGTGCGCATCGACGATCTCTCTTCACGCGAGATTCTAACCCAGGACCTACTGGCTTCGCGCGCGAGCACTTAACCACTAAACCAGTGGGCCGGCATCCAACGGTGTTAATGTCTAACTTCAACCAATTCACGAAGTTGCGCCACCGTACACCATTGTCTTCAGTGAGTTGTTATCTCACAACAGAACTCCACTGGTGAACTCCACTGGTGACGGCTTCTCACTAGAACTCCAGGAGTTTTTCTTGAAGTCAGTCACTAGTGAGCAGTTGATTATTATCAGAATAGGTTTTGTGAAGAGTTTTTTTAGAAATTTCATAGGTTGAAATCAAGTTAGACATTAATACCGTTGGATGCCGGCCCACTGGTTTAGTGGTTAAGTGCTCGCGCGCGAAGCCAGTAGGTCCTGGGTTAGAATCTCGCGTGAAGAGAGATCGTCGATGCGCACTACTGAGGAGTTCCATACTAGGACGAAACGGCCGTCCAGTGCTTCCAGGTTTTCCATGGTGGTCTAGCTTCAATCGACTCATGATTTCAATAAGGGTTTACTTTAGTTACAAGATTATTTTTAATTGTCGAGTCCTTAGAAATTCTATAGTAAGAAGTGAAAATAAATAGATGAATAAAACAGCTCATTAATTATTTGTTTTCTCATTACTTTGACAGTTGCATCATTTATGTAATATGTAACTACACTCATCAAATCCACAACATTGATGAGTAAATTGCAATGGATAAAATATGCATGAATACCACAAACCGTCGAGCAATGAGCTCACAACATTTACTTGTTAAATCACCCTACTAGTTATCCTGATTAGTATATTTGATTATGTCCAATGAAAAGGCACTATGTACTACATAAGGTTTCAAACAAAACGAAGTATTCTTAACTGGTACCGAAAGAATCATTCTAATTCTATTTCACTACTATCAGAATCCACTATATTTTTGGAATGAGTGCTAAATCTATCTGAATAGTTACATGTTAAATTTCACTGTTCTGTTATATTTCATATAAGGTCAACAAACTAACGTACAAACATGCTACTTCACGGTACTGCTGTTCTACTCTCAGGTTACTCAATTTCATTAAATAATATATCGGAAGATGCTGTAGGTGTTATTTGTTCACATATGAATCCTAAAAATAAAAAAAATAATTTACTTTAGTGAACAGACTTCAGATAACCAGAAAGAAATTTCACCTATTAGTTATCATAATTATTCATTACTTCAGTGTTAGGTTATAAAGTTAAGAGAAAAGATTCTTATTGGATATATAAATGAATGTTTTGCTTGACATAAGCACACATACATATACATTAAAAAGTATGAGTTTTCGCAAATCTGAACTATTGTTAATTGGTAAATATACAATTACATGTATAAGCGTATGCAAAGCAACTCGAATAAGTACCTAAACATCCTACCAATACGTAAACCCATAATTGGACAACTTCCAGATACAAACTCATAGAATACTATGTATATATAAACTAGAACTTCACTTAATAATGTTAAACTTTATTCACTCATTAATTATGTGCATAAATAAATATGCTTAGTTCTCCTGTTCTCACAGATGTATACATTTTTAAGCTGTTTAATGTACGGGATATCCGTAAACTGAAAGAGTACAAAAATATAATTATGCATGATTCGAATATCTTAATGTTTCATGCTAGTGCTATTGGTAAGGAGTAGTTGTAAGAAATCAAATAATATCAGTTTACATCTAAACTAGTTAGTTGTAATTGATGCTGCAAAACTTTCTACATAACCCGTCTCCTAGTATAAAAGGTTTATCATATATGGGTTGCTATATTTTGATGCACTTGTCTGTAAACGTTTTTTGAAAGTATTAATTAATAAATCGAATCTTGATGCTACTTTTAGTATAAGCCTAGGGAAGGGAACATCTCTAATCATTGAATTATTTTCTATCCAAATGTTAATTAAATCATTTGACAGGATAGCAAATAAATTGTTTACATATTTTGTTGTTCATCTCTAAAGAGCATACATAAGTAATAAGTATAGCAACAGATACCAGATCTTTACAGAAACTGGTGTTTGATTAGCTATTTCTAATCACATCGCCTTTATGAAGAAATAAGGTTATAAGTTTTATATGGTTTGATAAAAAGAATATTGGGTAAGTTTTATTTAGTACAATGAAATCTTCACCTTGAAAGAATTTTATATTCTAAAATTTAACATCTAGATTAATCGTTTATCTGTATGTATTAATTTTCGGTGTTTAATGATTTTCCATCTGTACTATTACTACTACTATAATGTTTAGGTAACTTGCACAATAAGCTATCACAAATAAGAACGTCGAACATGATCTCTTTTTGACCTGACCTATATTTAAATATCAGTTAAGCCACCTTTCTGTAGCGATTTACGCCTACTGCCTTGTTACGTTACAGGTGACAAGTTTGTAAGTGACAAACCTATGTATCATGTATTGTTCTATACTTTATGTATCTCAACTAAAGTCTAGTGTGAATAAACTACATAAATACGTTAAGCACTGTGCTGAATGTTTCTTCAATAAATAATAAAATAAATGAGTGGCATCATTTAGCTGTATTATGGTAACAAAGATGTTTTTGTAGTTTTTGAAATTGTTGTGTAGTGTGATTAAATTTTGAACTGAGAATATTCCTTCTGTATTTTTAAGATTCTATGCTGAAAATGTAATTAATGTGTTTATTTTTTTCGCGTGACTTGCCATTTTATATACAGCATTATATGAATGGTAAACTTAAAATATGAAGTTCGTTTGTAATTGGTTTGATTTTCTATTGATTTGAAGCGCTATGAACAGCTTATACTTACGTATCCTAACAGATATCACATTATCATTGATGACAGTCTCTCATTTATGCTGAGTTTATCTGTCTACATGTTATTTAATAAAGTAGACATTCAAAGTTTTGCCAAGAGATAACCAGTTTCTGTCTCCTCCATTTATTATGGTTTTTATAGTCAGGGTAGCTGCTGCAATACATGTTTTACTGATTGACTAGTTTAAGAACATAAATTTATTTGGTGAATTATTTTCAGTGTTTTAATAACAAAGTCTGGTAAACTTACAAAGAATCGTGATAATCGTCTATTTTAAGCAACACTTAATACAAGTCAAATAAATTTATTTCACTGATATTCTTTCATCTAATATTATCTATGCTCAGAACTAAAGAGTATCTGTTTAAAACATGACTTTTTGAGACAAATGTGTTAATAACTTTCGTTACTGACTGCCATCATTTGTAAAGACATTGAAAGTTATGGAACGATTGATTTGTATTCTCAGATATCTGATAACACTAATTTATTATCACCCGCTTTATAAGGTTATTAGCATAATTAATCTTTTCTATAGTACTCTAGCTTATATTATGTTGTGATCAAATTAACTAACAATTTCTCACGCATGGAATTGACTGATAAAAATGATAATGAAGTAGAGAATTCGTTGGAGCTTTTTTTATTTTTAAGGTTTTCAAATATACACATTAATTTGATGAAAATTAAAAAAAGTAATTTTTGTAGTAAATATACATTTTCATTCTTATTCACGCATAGAAATAAAAAGCGTTTATAACAATAATTAGTTTTTGTCTAAATATAGATTATGAAATATGTCGATGATCGTATGAGAGAAGGTATTGAAGAGTATTCAATGCTACGTGATCAACGTGAAAATCCCGTACCGTTTATGGATTCAATCCAACGTATGGTAAGTTATTGTTTTCTCAGAAAAATTTTATCGATATTATTTCATGTTAAAACTTGTTCATTCATATTTGTTGTTTTTGTTTCTAGACATTGACTGTAAATAAATAATATTCGCTAAAATTAACCAAATTGTATAGTGTATTTTTTATTTATATCGCTCCCACATGCGAGATTTATCCATAAATTTTATTATTTATTTTCACTAGTCTGAAACATGACACATGAATAAGCAAAGCAAATAAAGTTTAGTTTCGGTTAATGTGCTGACATTTTCAGCTTTTGAGTTTCGTATTAATTAAACTTCATACTAATTTGTTTGATATTTATTATTTAAGCTCTTAATAAATTCAGTTAGTAATTTTTTTTGATGGATTCACTTCTACCTGAAGTTTGTGTTGGTGATGTCGTTCAGAAGAACGATGAGAGCTCCACGACCAAACTATCCAGCTCAGAGAACAAAGCTCTATCAAAATCACCCACCTGAGCTACGAATCTTCTCCACTATCTCAGTTAGTAATCATAGAACTACATAATTTTGATAATTAACTAAAATGTACACCGCATTGTTAATTGTTTCTTAGTTCAGTCACTGTAAGTGGTCTGCTGTGAATTATTTTTATTCAAAAGTTCTATTTAATGTAAAAGTCAAATCTTTAGAATCTTATCAATAAAAAGAAAAACAATGAGAGTACGTTTGCTTTCAGTTTAGTTTTATATGATATCTTAAAGTCTGACGGGATTTACTGTATGTAAAGGGTGTAATATTGGTCGTTTCATAACGTTTTATCCTTGTAAGTAATAACTCAGACGACTACATCAGGGCATGCCTTGTTTGTTCAGTAGACAATATAGCTGAATGTTTTATTATACAGTTTTCCCCTAGAGAAATTTGAATAAAATAACAACAAAGAATGTGGTAGCAAAATATAAATTTATTCGTCTTGTAGGTTTTCTTCAGCTGCTTAAAACGTTGATACAGTAGTAATAATTATTTAGATCCCGTATTAATACTTTACATCATAATAATGAAGACTGGTAAAAATGCGAAAAAATATAGAAGGATTACGAGAGTACTCTAGTGATAAATCATTTTCAAAATCTTTCCAAATTATCAATACTCAAGCAACTTCGAATTTTTTTAATGTTCTTCAGGGGTCGTCTCTATTAGAAGAGTGAAATTAATCCCAGGCATCTAAAAGGAGATATACTTATATATCTCACATTACCCTAATGACTCCAACTTCCATCAACAGACTACATCATACCTTATTTCATGCTCTCATCTATAAATTCCTTTCCTTCATTCTTGTGTCATTTTCTTGGCTTTACTCATTTTATCCTATTAATATACCCGTTTCTAAAATTGTTATCACGCAACTTTTTACATTAATTTTCATTTTAGAGAAACTTGTGTTCAAATTTTTCTTATTAGTTAACATGGATATGTTTTCTAGAAATCTTATTCACTTACTGACTTGAATTTGCTAATCTCCGTGTATATGGATATGTTTTAACTAAATTATACAATTGTTTTCAGGTGGACAGTGAAAAGAATCAGAATTCCGTCAATGTATAAAGCTGAGTAAATATGAAATGATGTCAATATTCAAAATTCAGTCCAAAGTTTGTAATACACGGCATTGATGTTGATTATCAGTTTTCATATTTACTTGTAAAAGCTTTCTAATCAAGGGGTTATATGTTTGCCATCACATAATTTACGGAGCATCAAACTGACCAACTAAGGGATTGTTAAGAGTAGTGAGAATTGTAAAGTAAATATGTTTTGATCCTTTACTTCTTAAAATGTCAAATTAGAATTCACTCACGATTAATGGGACATTCTGTATGGGAACTGCTTACTGATCTAAACCTCTCATTCTTATAAAAGTGAAGCATGTGTAATATCAACTTTTAAAAAACATGTCTCAACAAAGCAGTTAATGAATAATTGAATCCCCATATTTTTACTAATTAAATTAAATTTCTCATATTGATGGATACTTGTGAACTTCCTTGTTTATATACAGATGACTGTAATGTATATTCATTATCATGTGATAGAAATAAATTGTCCAAAGTCAAATGCCTAGTACCTGTGTGTTTAACGATTTCTTTGTGACTGTTCGTTTTCTAACTGGACAAAGTGATAGGCGGGTTTCATTTTCTCTATCTAAATACTTTCACTTTGTTAATTTTCATCTTTGTGTAGTTGCGCTGTTGTGGTGTCAATGGTTACGAAGATTACCGTGAAAGTATACCCATAGCATGTTGTGATCACCATGTAAGCACATGTCTAAATGCATTACTGTCACCCGAAGAAGTTTATAAAGAAGTAAGCAATTTTGTTAAAATACTGGTAAAATTTCTCATTTCACACCGTTTCGAACATTCATATTAACTTTTTATTTAAATGACTATCTGTCATATAAGTTTATAGTTTTTGCTAAAGATTATTGATGAACGAATTGATGTTTGTTAGCATATAACGATAGTATGTTTCTACTATTACGGTTAAGATAGTATGTTTTATGCAAAGCTGTGTAGATGTGGATTCGACTTACTGATATTTCAATAAACTATGAAGTAGCTTTCTAAGAATTGTCTCTCTCTCTCAGCTATTCCTAAACCGTAGGTGTTGTTTGAACTTTACGTATTCAACATTTACTGGCCGATGCAGATGAGATGAGAGACGGGTGTAGCTGAGAATTCCTAAAGTCTCAGTGTGGATATATACTGCAGCAGAAACTTGATTCATGTGGGCTTTTCTGGACACAGCTTGGAAGTCGAGTCACACTAATATTAGTTTCACACTAAATGTCGAAGGTGAAGTTGTGTTAATCGATCAGGGTCCCTGCAACAGTTTTTAGTGTACAGCTCTTTCAAATTAGAAAGAAACTGACAAGGGGAAGTCCTTTTTTTTGCGATATTTCTCTTTACGCCTCAACGAACTACAGGTTGGACGTACTTGAAGGTGAGTTCGGTAGCTAAATGAATGACTTCAACAGAGCATGTTTGAGAGATATTGCCTTCGTACTAGGGTTTTTCAATCATCATTTTCACTATTATTAACCAGTTTTATATCAAACTGATATTTTGTGAATTGTAGATCGATAAAATTGTGTTGTTTTTTAAAAGTTGTCAAGAAAAATGATAACAAATATACTCTTTGTAATGTAAATTTGATTGTTGTATTCAGCAGGTTTTCAATTTATAGTTTGTTCAGTCTTCTGTATATATATATATAGGGGGACAGTTAATTTAGTAGAACTAGCTAAGTCCAGAAAGCTTTTTGCGTAACACGTTGAGTGGTTAGGAAAACAGAAGATACTTAATACTGCCTTTAGGTTAGAATTACAGATTTTGTGGCTATGTTTATCAGAAATTAAAAAAAATCATAATCATTGTACGGATATAAGTTGTATGATTAAAAATAACTAGTTCTCTTAACAAGTAAATGGTTTTAATATACAGAAAAATTGTGAATTTCATAACGGGAGTTGAACTATGCAGAGAAATGCTTTAACATCTCTCATCTGCCAATCAAAATAAATTTTTATACGTAAACATAAATAATATATTTTAAGGACTATCCATTTCCTGAGTAATGCCCATGTATCCAATGTTTTTTTTCTAAAGTAACTGCAAAATTATTAAAAGCACGTTAATCACAGCAAAAATAACAAATCAATTTCTTTTGTAGTACAGATAAGATCTTTACAATTATGCACAAATTTAAAATTGACGTCTAATCAGCGGTTGAATCGTCTTACTAGTTTATTCAATAGTGTACTGCTCCTATCTTTTTTATACACTATTGATTTAATGACATCGGAGTATTCAATAAACGTTTAAAATATTTAATTACTTTTGTCATTTATTATTCATCATTAGAATAGCATAAATTGCATTATCCATTTTAATTTTTTCAGTCTATCGGTAGATTTCATGTTAACAAACAATTCAATATTCCTGATAATTAAAGCAAATACATATGAACGTAGAGTATCCCTTTCAGTAAATTTTTATGTTCAACAATTATTATTTCGAATAACTAATCAAAACGTATCGCCAATTTGACGACATGAATTTCTAATAATCCAGTTTATGGATTTAAGGATTGCTTGTAAATGTTGCAATCACACTGTAAAACAAATGAAATCGTACGAATAATAATTGGAATAAATACAGGTAACGTGGTGCAACAGAATTAATAACATGATTAAGGAATATTCAGGGATTGTACTATACATAGAATTATATGGATTAAGTTAGAGATCATACATGTGGAATGAGTGACAAAGAAATTACTCAAGCGTATGCGAACTAATCAATTAAATTAGATTAATTCAGATTTTTAAGATATTTGACAAAAGGGTTTGTAGTGCATCAAACTTATCAAATAATTTTATAATGGAAATGGTTAATAGGGTTTACGGAGCTTAGGCTTTTCATTTGCATTACAATCGCTTCTTCTGTTTGAACGACTTATAGTCCACTGCTTTTTGTAATCTATTCTTGATGTATTAAATTGTTGAAGGTAACCAGTTAGTGTTGCCTTCATGGTTCGCTTAGAACAGAAGGAATAAAATAGAAGTACTGACAGTCTTAACTACGCATTTACTTAGCAATACTGTTCATGAGTAAGGAAAAAGTAAATACTTGAAACAACTTTCGGATTGACTCACTCAGTTGAATTGAGGGGTACGCAAACAGGTGACTATTTTAGGTAATTTATTCAGTTGAACTTTGTTTAAACTGTTCTGCAGAACCATTTGCTTTAGTATTCCTCTGAGTGCATCGCTTTCGAGTTGTAGAATTTCAATGTTTCCTGTTTCTATTCACTGCAATAATTACGTCATTTAGGAAAAGACATTAGTATTTTGTTAGGTGCTTCACTTCTAAATTATAAAACCGTAAAGGAAGATTTTTATTAAGCGCTTGAAAAACTTTTTCTATTTTGGTGAATAAATGTTTGTCTAAAGCTTCTCAAGCTATCCACTTTTTCTGTGAATATTGTGTAAAGCGTTCACAGCTATCTTATGTACAATGTACTGTCAGTTGTTAATTTAATTTAATATCGACGTTGAATTTTCGGAATGAAAAGTGTATCCCATAGAAACTATTGTAGTTTTGATTTTATATTCGAATTACATGAATCGGTCAGTTACGTATACACAATATGGTGCTGTTTATTTTTGTCTTACATTAGGTAGGTAATAAAAGGTCAGGGTGAAAAATGTGTCTCATATACTTCTGAATTACTCTTATTGTGAATGTAAAATTATATAGCCGTACCTTCTAGGTACATAAATTTCCAAACGTGTAGTAAAACCACAAAGGTAATAATTAATATAATGTTCTGAAAATACTGTCCACTTTGTCTGAAATCGATCTTTTTATCAGATCAAATGTACTAATTGTGCAACACAATGAAAATATACAATTAGAAAGTTATCGACATGTTATATGAACAGTTGTTTTGAAAACATTTGTTCCAAATATACATTAGATTATTATCTATGAATAATTGATTTTACAATTGCTAGAGTGCAATGCATTGTAAATATTTTTCAGGTTTTTTAGGAAACTGAATCGTAAGCTATGTTTTTTATTTTCATATCCTGGTTTATATGTATATTGGAAGCTTCAGCTGTACATTGGTATATCATGCCTGGGACTACTATAAGCTAAAAAACAGTCATTCAAAAGGTTCAATGTGTTTATTAATTGAAAAATTTCGAGTCCGCCTTTTATTTCTGTACTGAAACTAATTTCTTGCTTTTATATATAAAAAAGATAGTAATCAGTTCTTAGTCTTTGAAACGAATCTATTATTAAAACTCATATGAATTGGCACCACATTATTTAACGAGTAATTTGATGCACTGTTTTACAACTGAATCATTCTGGGTGTTATCTTTAAAAAAAGAATATTTATGTTTCTTTTTAAACTAAATATAAAAATTACTTTACTAGTGAGTTTTAATATAAATTGTTTAATTCTTGTCATTGGATAAAACTTAACCTGTACTGAATCGCTTATGAAAATCAAATATTGACATGAGGTTATGCAATAATGGGCTAGGGAAAAGTGCTAAAGTGAAGATAAATATCTACTGGCTAGCTATTAAGAACAGAATAATTAAAAGTTATAATAATGGTTAGTTAACAGTTATGAAAATCATTGGAAAAGAGTAGAAATAATGATAAAAAACAGTAGATTATGAAAGATAGAAAAGAATGGTTAAAATCATGTAAGCATGAGGGATTGAATATACTGTTCTTGTACGCAAAGGTTCGGCTTGAAGAAGTCGATAGCTATAACTTCTGATATAAAAAAGTTTTTCATCTGTATTCATCTGTAGCCGGCTCTTCTGACAGTATGTAAGATTTTGAAGGAGGCTTCTGGTGAAACGGAGTGACCAGAATTGACTAGTTGCTCCAAGATGAAACTTTTGGCCGACTTCTGTAATCGTTTAGAAGGTCAGACAGGGTAATGTTCTGGATTCTGTTCAGAAAGGGCCTAATTTGTGCGGCCAATATAACTTGCTTCACATGAGGCAGCAAACTGATAGATACACACTGATTTAACACAAAGAGGGAGCTTTCACACAACTACGAATCATAGGCCGACTAGAAAATATAATACGAGGTTCCACCCAATAAAATGTTTTTCTAAGAGACCTCGGAAGTTAATTTTTCATCATTTCTGCTGCATTATATCTTTTAAACAGTGTTCATGAAAAGAGTTTTATTTGGTGCTGTGGACATCCCTTTGCGTTGTTGTTTTGGCTTCAGATCTTTGTCATTCAGTATCAGTATTTCCCATATAGATAGACGCTATCAATTGTTGGTATAATTTTAGTGTTTTCGTGATCTAGAATGAAACAGTCAACCAGAAGTGGGGCGGGTGATGACCGCATTGCTACTCCGTCAGTTTGTCTATAGAATTCATCATTAAATTTAAATTCATCATTCCACAATTTATTCTCTATTATTACAGTTTCAGAAAGTTTGTTCGTTAGCAAGCTTCTACAAATAATAATTTAAAAGAAACTTGAATTATTTTTAATCAAAGCTTGTACTGTATGTTTGATTCATGATATCTTTATTTGTTACTTTATTGCTAGATAAAACTTAAAGTCCTGACAACAGTATTTCTGTTTACTTCTTCCTTATCTCAGTCAGTCAGTCAGTCATAAAAGTAGTTAATTCAGAGGTGGATATATATAAAAGAAAGATTGCATATAAGGATATAGTACAAGAAGAAAGAATTAGTTCGTAGAAAGAAAGATATGAAGTGATTTTAATCTCTTAGTTTAAGGGAAGACAGAGAGTGTATACACCGACGCCATTGTGATCGATTCTGAGCCATGTCACCAAGAGTCTCCAACCATTGGTTACGATAGTCACGCGGACCCCAACCATGTAGTCTGCATCTACCAACATGCCTCAGACTAGAAGTTAGTGACTTTGTGGACTGATGCCACGTTTTGGTTTGGCCGTCCCTAACTTTCTTCCAACCATCCCGAACACCGGTTAGCATTGCACGTCGTGGTAATCGGTGTTCAGGCATACGTAACACGTGACCCAACCATCTCAGTCGATGAAGATTCACTACCTCATCAACTGATTTACCATCATTCCCTAATACCCTGCGTCTAACCTCACTATTACTTACCTGGTGATCCCAGGAGACGCCAGCAATATTTCTGAGGGATCTGTGGTCAAATAGTAGTAGCTTACGAGTGTCTGATCATTTATATGCTCATTGTACATAAACTATGGTTTTCCTGTTTACGCGAATTCTAGATTATTTTTGGTGAAATCGTCATTAGTCTGAAAAATGTTAATTTAAAAAGACACAGTATTTAATTTTTTCGAATTAAGATTTTGAAGCGTCAGACTGCTAATCTTCTGTATAATTCCTGTTTAGTAATGTGCCAGGAGTAATTGGTGTCGACTATCGTTGAAACCACTTCAAATAATGCTCAGATTCCAGAAGTTATGAATGTTTACCATTTTACGGTTAAAGGTCAACATATTCTACATTCGGACTAAGTGACCTACGTACCACCGAGTTCTCATTTTCTACTTTCTGATGTTTTTCAAATATTTAGCTCGACATAAGATCAGAAGCATTGTTTAATTGGTTAAAACATTCTAAAGAAACAACAATGTCAAAATGATAACAACAGTATGAAGTTGAAATAATACATAGTAAAATAGTCATGTATAATTCCCGGATAAGAACTAATTAGATTGACACCACTAGATAACATATTAGACATTAAATGTAATCTGAATTAATATGTATGTTTTCATTGAAATCATGAACTGATATAAGTTAGACCACTGTTGAAAATCTGGAGGCCTTAGATGTCTGTTTTGCGCGCGAGACCGAAGGTCTTGTGTTTGAGACCTGCGTACGGGATTATGGGCGCGCACTTATGAGTCGTCCCATACTAGAACGAAACGACCATCCAGTGCTTTCAGGTTTTCAATAGTGGTCTAACATTGATTGATTCGTGATTTCAATAAAATTCAATAATCTCCACGACCCCATATTTGAAATCCTGCTATTGGACAATAACCATTTGTTTAATGTTTTTTTATTCGAAATGTTTATGTTACGAGTTAATATTGCATTTAGAACTGATGGTGAGAAATTTGAAGAAAGTTCAGTCATAATTATATTCTTGTTGTGAACGATATATCTGATAAAGATAATACTCTTGCCTCCTACAAAATAACATCTCTATTAATATAAGACTATATAACTTTATTTTTCTGAGATAAACGTGGTATTTAATCAACCCTATGCTAGTTCCTATAATCATGATGTTGAATAATGTATGTTTGAATTCTATGGAAAGGTTGCAAACACCTTGCTAAACTGTAACAACTACCATGAAACCTACTTTCCTTCAGCTGTTCAACATCAGATCACAGTGCACACTTGACTGAGTCGATTAGACAAGTTATTACATTTTCGTTAATGATTTTATTTGTTTAGAAATAAACTGATAAAGTGATTTCTCGGAAAAATGAATTTGTTTAAAATATTCATTGATTATGAATCGCTAAGTCGTGATTGAAATGCCCTAAATTTACCAAAATGTTTTATTAGGTCAATCAATAAAGTTCTAAGAAAACAAATCTTATTCTAATGATCATCCATACCAAAACAGCAACAAAAAATATAATCAAATTGTTATACCCATAACTATTAGCTATACTATCTTTCAGTTTATCAAATCTAAATGATGTAGGATGTTTGTGTGTTCGTCCGGATTCCATGATTACTACTAATTATTTATTTAGTGAAGAACTCAGCTTTTTTTTGCTTTAAAAATAATAAGCATTTTATATGAAAAATTGTTAGGAAGTAGGAGTTGCTTTGTTTGCATTTTTTGCATCTCATTTTGTCAGTGTAACACTTGTTATATGACAGATTATAAAGTCAATCATTAACTTGAAAAGTATTTTGACATACATTTTTTCGTACTCTAATGCAGATTGATAGTAGTTGAAATTTCACTTTCAAGTTAATGTGCTTATCGCAGGATCAAAAGATCCAAAGGTGCATATTGGTAAGGAATCGGAACTATGACGAAACGTGTTTAATGTATCTTAGCTATCAATTATTTTTCAGTTGATATCAGTTTATGATTACAATCAGTACAAACTCCAGAAATCACTTAATATTTTATTTATCGATTGATTACATTCATAATATCAATAATGATCACATTTTTTCTTCATATTATTGCCAGAATGTGTAAGTCTACAACTACTCATAAACATAAATAATGTTATTTATATAGGGTTACTCTTGGAAAAGTAGTATTCCATATATTATACCTGCCTTTCTTTTACTTAGAATGTTGAAATCCCCTTCTTTCAATGTTTATTGGCTAATTTACAATTGCAGCTTTCATTTTGACTGCTTATTGATTTATTTATTGTTTACTATTGAGTAAGAAAAAGAAAATTTCAGCATTTATACATGTTTATATTTGTCAATTGGAAAATATAAACAGTTTCGAAAGATTTTATGGATTCGGTGTTATTTGAATTAAAACAAATAAGATTAATTTCCGATATTCATATTATCAATAATATAAACAGATTATACATTTAATTTTCATTTATTTGTATCAGTTTCTTGTTCTTAATTGATTGTGAATTTAACTTCATTGTGTTATTAATGTTATTTTAATTGTTTGTTTACCCATTATGCTATGACGTTTTCTTTGTAACTTTATTATTTGATTATAAGTATCAGAGATTTCTGTTGTTTTTATTTCCAGGGTTGCAAAGATAAATATAAAGTAATGTTGAAAGATAAATTGGTCATTATATTCCTTGCAACTGTTTCTATTGCAGCTTTTGAAGTAAGATAAACTAATATCTGTTATATTTGTTTTACAGTTCAATTTACTTTGTATATATATATATATATATATATATATATTGGTGTCTACTTAGTTTGGCTGGAATTTTCTATTTAACTAGGGAATTGAAAGTCTTTAATGTATAGTCAGTGTAATGTTTCAGAAATAGTGATTCTTCTGGAGAAAATATTTATTTTGTAGTTTGTAAACTGTAGGCTTTTTATTTGTTGGTACATTTTACACAATAATTATCCTTTTGTTTTAATTATTTTCCTATCCCCCCTGATATTAGAAAGTCTAATAACTTCATATACTTTCGTATCCAGATCAATGTGATATTTAAAATTATTTTGATAGTCATGAAAAAAATAACAAATGGTATGCATCACATTTAGTGCATAGTATGAATAAGCCTTTGTGATTATACATATATATATATATATATATATAAAGTGCAGTGTATATATTTTTTGCCTAACAAACTAATCTAATCTTAGTTATTGTTTACATTAGCAAATGTTTACGTTTATGCGCATATATTACAAAATTAGCATTAATATTACTACTAATCAGAATTGAATGTTCGGTACTTAGAGACATATCCGACTATATATTAGTGAAATGTAGTGAATATACTAACTTATTTAAATGTTTGTTATGTAAATCGGCAAACGATATACTATGTATCAATATAGGTTAGTGATTTATATGACTTTTGTTTAAATGCTTCATATATGTCTATGTATGTGCATAGATATAATTGTTTAGTCTAAGGTGTAAATACACATATTAAAAATAGGATGCATTCACACATATATCCTTTTACAAGTCAAATAAATTCTGATGATTTAAAAAAAATAACTTGAAACTTTATTTTTCACGTTTATCATATTTCTAAGTTTTATAACGATTTTCCAGTATACACTGGCAACTATCTCCAAGTTTAAAAAACATAAAATTACAAATATCGATAATTTGTTTGTTTTTAATCCAATAAACTATGAGGTTTGGCAGTAAAAGCTTGGCCCGTGTTAAGTTGTAATAAAAAGTAAACAAACGATGAAACACTATTTATCTTAGTTCTATCGTAAGTATTTCCTTCAACATTAATCAGTCAATTTTTAAGAATGAATTTCTTGAAAGCGTAGAGTGTATGGTTTGAAGTCGTTTACTGTGCTGAAAATGAATATGTATAAATTAAATCACTTTTTGCTTTCGAAATTATTCTTTCATTACTATTTTTGATAAGCTTCTATTTGCTTTTTGTACAGTTTAGATTGATAAACACCTGTGGATCTTAGCTACTTAAAATGATCAGATAGACAAAGGATGAGCAACAGGGAATTTCTAAATTTCACCAAAAAGTGTATTTTCTAAGGAAGTTTTTATTTATTTTAAAAACTTTTCGGAAAATGAATTTAGGCTTGTTCAAAGAAAAAAATTCTGCACAACCAGAAGTATAAAGGACAGATTTTTCTCAGTCGGTAGTGATATGTAGCAGTAAATTTAGTTATTCACTACCTAATATTTTGCTGTATACATCGTGCAAACTTAAAAAAACCAATCAAGTAAATCAAACTAGAAGAATTGGCGTTTTCATTTATATCAAGAATATTTATCAGTAAAGCGATTCACGTTTCATCTGTTTTCCGGATTTTGTATATTTTACAAATTTTAATAGCATCGTCATTACATTATTCTTTTAATTTGTGTTGACGTTTTAACTCGATTATAATAAGTGCTCAATTCTTATCTATTATTTATAGCTTCCTTGTTCTATTCTCTCTTGCCTTCTTGCTCACTATAGAATTTCCATATAGAAAGATATAGTCATTTAACATTGAGGGAAGTATCCAAAACTTTCTCTTTTAGCCGTTAAGAATCTATTATGATTTCAGTTTAAAATGAGCCCGTTTAATTTCGTATATTTATTAGGCTTAATTGTGTTGTATTATTAAATGAAACGGGGCCACTCTTCGGATTATTATTTTGGATATATAATTGTAGAACCTGAAGAGAATTTACTGAAAAGAATATTCTTCTTTCATATCATCTGTTTTTATCAGATTACCTTTATAACGTGACATAAAAAAAGCAATAAAAATATTATAAAGAGATTTAAGATTAACCAGCTCAATGATCAAAAGTGTACAACACAAGCTCCCAGTGAATTATGTTTTAAGTGTTCACTCGGTTTATTGATATATCAAATAAACAAAGGGAATTTATGTGCACGCATATACTGAAAATGCACTTAATAAAATATGACTATTCGTGACATCTGAACACATACAATATATATATATATATATATGATGAGCACAATGATGTATGCAACAGTCACATTTTGTATCATTTCACCCAAGAGCTTGCATCACTCTTTCATGTCAATTTATTATATGAATACCAATTTGAGTAAGTGTTTGTTATACTCCAAGCATATAAAGTTGGTAAAACTATTCATCACTGATTTTTTTTACTTTCATTAAATTTACGACTCACTTGTACCATAGGTCATTTTTAGTTATAAAAAAACTAAATCAAAAGGTAACTGCTTTCTCTCTTAAATATTTCTCTTTTGAAATTTTATCTTTATAATAGATGGTATGTATAATGACATGATTTTAATTTTCTTTTTTTTCATAGATATTTTGTCTTCTCTTTTCAATGGTTATGTGTTGCACAATTCGACAATATCATTCAGATTATTATGGAGTCAATTATTCAATTGCTACTTGATCAACGGAGTACTGTTTTTTTCTTCTAATTAGTGTTATTTTTTATCTAATATAACACCAGGTACTTTTCGATTATTTTTATGTTTTGTTGTTTTCCAATCCAACCTTTTTGCTTTCGTTGCTTGTTATTCTTACTGTCATTTTTAAAAAAATTGTTTCTTTGGTGATTCAATACCAACTTTTCATTTTTCTTTATCCCTTTATTTCAATCGTGGAAAATTGAAGTTCGTATTTATGCGATCCATTATCCTGGTAATACTCTGTGTTAATCTATCTAGAAAAATCACAAAGAAACATCGAACTTCTTTCTGGTCTATGCGGATGAATGTAATTCTGATGGTACTATTTTGTCATTTTCTAATTTATGGAATTAGTATACATTAAACGTTATATCATTGTCATTTATAATGGTCATTTCAGCTATCCTCTCCGCTTACATAATAACCATCATTAAATTTTGTTTTGAGAACAAAATAATATTTCAATAAATTTCCCATTTTGTATTCATCATTGTAATATTTATTAAAATTGTTTTTATTGGAGTCGTTTTCTTAATTCACATAAATTTCATTGATTTTCATGTAAAACATAAACGTATTGTTTGACATTAGCCCCAATTCCTTCCTTCCTTCCTTCCTTCATAAATCATCACACTTATAAAAATTCTTTTAAATCATGTGGTAAATTTATAATTGTGTAATTTTTTTTGTAGACTGTTGATCACCATATTAGTTGACCGAGTGAATAAATTAGTAATTCTTCTTTATTAATTCTTTTTCTTGTTTCAATTTTTGATTTGGCCTAATATTATTACTATTATGGTTCATTCATTTGTATTTGATTCTCTTTCAAATTTCTTTTGCCATGTTTGCATATTGATTTTTGTTTTCTACATCTTGTTAAAAGAAATTGTCATCACATACTTCTTTGTGTTGGTTACACTTAGCTTATACGAATACATACACACAAACATACGCTTGTACAGTGTTCAGAAAAGACGACAAAAAAAGAGAAAAACTGTTAAGCGAGATATATGCGTTCTATCGAACATTTGTTCTTTCTGTTGTTGTTAATGTTTCTGTTGTATTTTGCTGTTCTTATTCTAGTCATCGTTGCTCTTTTCAAGCGTATTCAACGTTTTTTTTTAAAAAAAGTAATATTGTACACATTTTCATGCAAGTGGTAAATAGCAAAACAAAAGATAAAGTATTAACCTACTTCCTGTCACTATATATCTAAATGTATTGGGGACAAATAAACCTAGTTTGTTCTTGAAACTTATTGAAATATTGATTAATATAAGTGAATAGGTTACAAAGAATGCCTTGAGGTTTATTAGACTAAGTCATTAAACGATTAGACTATGAATATCAATCAACTATGGAAACTTTATAATTAGTGCGTGTGTATGTGTTATTTAGGTAAATTAAGGTTACAGTTAGTCATATAGTTACAAAACTTGAAATAAACCTATAAACAAACACACCAAAAGTATAACTTACTTATAAATATAATAATTTATGCTGCTAACATTTGTACCGAATATAGTAAGTCCTTTGCTATGCTGTTGTCCAACTTCTTGTTATTGGCACCAAAAGCATGATTCTTGTTGTGATTATCTTCTGCTTTACTAATTTCAAAATTGATTTTTACGTTACTATCTATAATTTAGTTCACAACTTCCAAGTGAATAAGCTAACTGCATTGAGCTTTTGTTTCTCTTTGCCCTGTTGTTATTCATCCATTCTGTGTTATGAAAAAACAAACAAACTAGGTAATCGAATATTGATAAGATATCATAGCTCAAAGTTTTTTGACTTCTGTCTTTTGTTTTTGTTATTCATCATTTATGCATTCAGTACACAGCACATATGTTAGTGCTTTGCGTTTAAATTTGCGTACATCCAATTACCTACACTCCACTGACCATTCATGGAAAAGAGAACATTTATACATCGATTGATTTGTGGTTAACGAATCATTCTTTTTATTATTTCATAATGTGGTACACTGAATATCACTACAACATAAATTATTATTTATTGTAAGAAAATTGATATAAAAGAATCAAAAGTAGTCGACGTTTGTAACTGATTGATTTCAGTTAGAGTACCGTTGAAAGCCATGGTGTACAGTGGTAGTAAAGTATTTGTTTTTAGTACAATCAATAATTTACATATCTCTATTCTTCACTCCTTACCTCCTATGCAAGGAATAGTACGTATAATATTTGGATCAAGGTCAGGATGAAATTTGCATGTAAGAAACTATGAAACCGGCTTTGTTTCCTGACGATCATTTCCGTTACTTTGGTTTGAAAAGACGACTTGCTTTTGTTACAACTGTAAAGAATCTGTAATTGTTAGTGAAGTGTTCTCATTTCTATGTCGAACAAAAATCTTGGACCTCGTCACAAATCATGTTATCATAAAGCTCAGTGTGATTATTTCCTTGATTTAAAATTTAATTAACGATGAAAGTGTGAATTCCCATGCGCGCCTTCAACAAACTAAACGAATTTAGCCTGACTTGAAATCAATTATCATCACCGATTCTGAACATTTAGTTTTATCGGCACTTAAATATGTATATCAGAACGCGGTACAACAATGTTGACGAAGATCATAAGAGTTATGTTGAATTGTTAACCTTATGTGCGAAATTGTATAGGAATTTACGTTCAAGTAAATTACAACAGAATATTTCAAATCTTATTCAACTGTAGAAATCATATATAGATAATTGTCAAAATAAACTTATCAATTTAATTTAATTGCACACTAAAGCATTGCCTGTATTAACAGAAATATCTATGGTCTGCCTAATTACATTAATCGATTTTTGCAGTATTGTTATTTTGAAAACAAAGGAAAGGATGAGAAGAAAGCTTGAAAAATTTTGCAGTAATATTAATCGTGTTAGTCTGATTCCAGTTAATCCTGATAATTACGTCACTAATTTATCGCCCATTGTTTTGTCGGCTAATGAAGAGGATACACTTTCAGTTTTAATTTTCCTGTCCCTAAACGCAAATAGAGATAAACGCCAGATTTGAAAATTTCTCTGACCAACTGGGTACGCTAGCCCCTATGTCTTTAAATAATCAGTTGGTGTAAAGCTAAACTGTTGGATATATTGCACCAATTTCATAGTCGCAGATGAAAGCTGAGAAGCATATTAACTTCTCAGCATTTTAAATCACTAAAAGAATTACGAACAAACCCTGATATTATCTTATTGAAGCCTGATGAAGTATCGGGTGTGGTTATCATGAAAAAATGGGAATAAAACAGTAAGATGTTATCCATCCTCAGTGATGAAAGTTTAATGGCCCGAAATCTGACTACATTTGAATAGTATGATAGATTGTTATCGAAATGCACGTATCGTCTATCCTCGCACATTATCATCGACTTAACTCGCGTTAGTGAATAACGGTGTTAAATAAGTTAAATACTAGGATGAAGTTTCGAATATGTATGGTATGTAAACTCATTGGTCTGGACAATCAGTCAGAGTAACGAAACGAATGAAGAGAAGAGAGCGAATCAAAATGATACGTGGTGGAGAAGGCGTGTGAACCGATTCCATTTAGCCAAGCGTTGATAAGTTACAGACATGTGACGAGTAAGACAAGAAATACACACACATACGCTTACGTAAAAATAGTCAAGGTTAATAAGCGAATGACTAACGAGGTCAAAATGCGACTCAAGAATGAATAAATTGGTCTGCCTGAAAGCTAGACTAACCTATGTGGGCTTAACATAGCAACCGACACTACAAAAGTAAAATTATGCCTGGTGTCGAATTTGAAGGTGTTAACAAACTAGGAGGAAGAATACATTCAAACCTAGTAAAACTGCTACACATGAATATGATTGATAAAGAAGAATTTAATTTTCTAAAACCAATGGGTTTTGACTATCCTCATTTACATGGATTACCTAAAATTCATAAATCAAAAATTCCTTTACATCCAATTTATCAGTGTGTCGATCCCCTACATATAACCTAGCTAAATTATTGGATTCTGTCCGAATGCGTTTATGTGAGTTGCCTCTGAAGGATTCTTTTGAGTTGGTCGACTATTTAGGCGACGATATTCAAAATGGAGTATAGGCTGTCGACCAGCATTATCCAACCCACTCTGTCCTGGGCCTTCCCTTCCAGTCCTATCCTATTTTTGTTCATTTTTCTCATATCTGTCCCCATTTCTCGGCGTACTGTGTTCTTTGTTCTTCCTTTTTTCCTTTGACCTTGAGGATTCTATTTGAGGGCTTGTATTGTGACGCAGTTAGGTGCTTTCCAGCACTTCTTCCTAATTTCTTCCTCCGTTGGGATCTGGTTTACTCTCTTCCACAATACGTTGTTGCTGACAGTGTCTGACCAGCGGATCCAATGTACTTTGCGTAGACAGCTGTTGATAAACACTTGTATCTTCTGGATGATGGCTTCCGCAGTTCTCCAAGTTTCTGCCCCATACAGTAGAACTGTCTTGACATTTGTACTGAAAATTCTTATCTTGGTGTTGGTTGACAGAGAGTTGTTTTGAGTTGCAGATGTTCTTCAATTGTAAATATGCTGCTCTTGCTTTGCCGATCCGTGCCTTCACATCTGCATCAGATCCACCATGTTAATCAATGAAGATGCCCAAATATGTAAATATTTTTATATCTTCCAAATCTTCTCCATCAAGTGTGATTCGTTTGTTGCATGCTGTGTTGTACCGGAGAATCTTGCTTTCCCTTTTTGTATATTGAGACCTATTGATGCTAAGGCTGCTACTACACTGGTCGTCTTTTCGTGCATTTGTTTTTGCGTGTGCGGTAGAAGAGTCAGATCATCTACCAAGCCTAAATCCTCCAGCTACATCCTGACTGTCCACTGTATCCCATGCTTCCCCTCAGATAATGGCGTCTTCATGATCCAGTCGATCACCAGGTGAAAGAGAAAGAGTGAGAGTGAGCAACCGGTCTTGACCTTGAACGAGTCTGTCCTCCATACAGGATTTTGCAGTTTAGTCCATCATAGGAATTCCGTATGATACTGACTGTCTTCTCAGGTACGCTGTAGTGCTGAAGTAGCTTCCATAGTGCTGTGCTGTCTACGCTATCAAATGCTTTGTCGTAGTCAATGAAGTTGATGTAGAGTGACGAAGTCCATTCAATTGATTGTTCCACAATTATCCGTAGTGTTGCGATTTGTATACGATATATCCTTACGGAATTCAGCCTGTTGGTCTCGAAGTTGAGCGTCTATGGAGTCCTTCATTCTGTTTAATAATACCCTGCTGTAATGCCATCTACCTAATAATCTTTTAGAACTTGAAAGAATCCAAATTAAATCAATTGTAGTAGTGCATTCTATCTTTAACAACCATTAATTCGATATTAAAAATATCAAAATAATGCAAAATGATAGGCGAGTAGCTGGAGCTTTCCGTATATTTCACACCCACTAACATATAAATTCACAAGCATATCTCTAATA